TTTTTTTTTTTTTTTTTAAAGACAGGATCTCGTTCTGTTGCCTAGGCTGGAGTGCAGTGGCATCATCTTGGCTCACCGCAGCCTTGAGCTCCCAGGCTCAAGCAGTCCACCCACCTCAGCCTCCTGAGTAGCTGGGATTGCCGGCACATGCCACCATACCTGGCTAATTTTTTTTTTTTTGGTAGAGACTAGGTTTTGCCCCATTGCCCAGGCTGGTCTCGAACTCCTGAGCTCAAGCGATCCTTCTGCCTCCCAAAGTGCTGGGGTTACAGGCCACCATGCCTGGGTCATGCATGGCTTTTGTATTTCAGTATAATTTTTGCTGACTTGAAGTTATAATTATTCATAAACTGGTATGAATACATCAAGCTGCAGAGTGTTCCTAGCTGTCAGGAGTTAAAATTCTTAATATTTTCTCCTCCATTTTATTTTATTATTTAATTTTTTTCTTTTTTTGAGACAGTTTTATTCTTGTTGCCCAGGCTGGAGTGCAATGGCATGATCTCGGCTCACTGGAGCCTCTGCCTCCCAGGCTCAAGTGATTCTCCTGCTCCAGCCTCATGAATAGCTGGGATTACAGGTGTGCGCTGCCATACCCAACTCATTTTTGAATTTTTAGTAGAGGCAGGGTTTCATTATGTTGGCCAGGCTGGTGTTGAACTCCTGACCTCATTTGATCCACCTGCCTTGGGCTCCCGAAGTGTTGGGATTACAGGCGTGAGCCACCGTGCCTGGCCTTTGCTCCATTTTATTATGAAAAATTTTCAAGCACAGAAAGGTTCAAAGAGTTGTAGTGAACACCCAGATATCTAACACGTAGATTTTACAATAAAAATTTGCCATAAATAGCCTGGGCAGCATAGTAAGGCCCCCTTCTCTACAGAAAAAAATAAAAGAAAATTATCTGGGCATGGTGGTGCACATCTGTAGACCCCACTGCCTGGGAGGCTGAGTTGGAAGGATCGCTTGAGCCTAGGAAGTCAAGACTGTAGTGAGTTGTGATCATGCCATTGCACTCTAGCCTGAGCAACAAAGCGAGACCCTGTCTCAAAAAAAAAAAAAAAAAAAAAAAAAAAAAAAAAAAAAAAAAGTGGGGCAGGAGTGGTGGCTCACGCCTATAATCCTAGCACTTTGGGAGACTGAGGCGGGTGGATCATGAGGTCAGGAATTTGAGACCAGCCTGGCAATATGGTGAAACTCAGTCTCTACTAAAAATATAAAAAATTAGCCAGGTATGGTGGCGTGCGCCTGTAGTTCCAACTACTTGGGAGACTGAGGCACGCGAATGGGTTGAACCCTGGTGGCAGAGGTTGCAGTAAGCCAAGATTGCGCCATTGCACTCCAGCCTACATGACAGAGTGATACTGTCTTTTTTTGGAGTCTCACTCTGTTGCCAGGTGCCAGGCTGGAGTGCAGTGGCGTGATCTTGGCTCACTGTAACCTCCGCTTCCCGGGTTCAAGCAGTTCTCCTGCCTCAGCCTCCCGAGTAGCTGGGGCTACAGGTGCACACCACCACAGCCAGCTAATTTTGTATTTTTAGTAGAGACGGAGTTTCACCATGTTGGCCAGGATGGTCTCGATCTCTTGACCTCGTGATCCACCCGCCTCGGCCTCCCAAAGTGCTGGGATTACATGCGTGAGCCACCGTGCCCGGCCTGAGACTCTGTCTTTAAAAAAAAAAAATTGCTATGTATTTTGTCATCTATCTCTCCATTAATCTTTTTTTTTTTTTTTAACATTTATCTCAAAGTAAGTTGCAGGTATCAGTATACTTCATTCTAAGCACTTTAACATGTTCACCATTAGCTGGATTTGCATTTCTTTTTGGAGGGGTGAGGAGTAAAATTTATATTTGGTAAAATGACTAAGTCTTAAGTGTAGCATTTATTTGTAAAGCTGCTTAGTTTTTTGTTTGTTTCTGAGACAGAGTCATGTTCTGTCATCCAGGTTGTGGAGTACGGTAGTGGCATGATCTTGGCTCACTGCAAACTCCTTTTCTCAGGTTCAAGCGATTGTCCTGCCTCAGCCTCCCGAATAGCTGGGATTACAGGTACCCGCCATCATGCCTGGCTAATTTTTGTATTTTTTTTAGTAGAGACGGGATTTCACTTTGTTGGCCAGGTTGGTCTCAAATGCCTGACCTCAGGTGATGTGATCCACCTGCCTCCCAAAGTGCTGGGGTTATAGGCATGAGCCACTATACCTGGCCAAGCTGCTTAGTTTTTTAAGGAAGGCAAAAAAGTATTCTTAGAATATTTGTTTCTTAATAGAGTGGTTCATTAAGGCTGTAAAAATTGTTAACCGTAGTAGGGTATGGGAATATAGAAGTGTGCTGAGGCTAAAACACTAAAAGAAGTTTCAGTAAGAACTGCTTCTTTCTAGTGATTCCTTTTGGATTCTTAGAAAAAACAGCATATCTCAGGTTCTCTTAAGAGTAGAGCAGCCGGGCGTGATGGCTCAACGCCTGTAATCTAAGCACTTTAGCACTTTGGAGGCCAAGGCAGGTGGATCACCTGAGGTCAGGAGTTCTAGACCAGCCTGACCAACCTCGTGAAACCTCGTCTTTAAAAAAAAAAAAGATTAAGAGTAGAGGAGGCAGACCGGGCATGGTGGCTCACGCCTGTAATCCAAGCACTTTGGAGGCCAAGGCGGGCGGATCACCTGAGGTCCGGAGTTCAAGACCAGCCTGACCAACACGGTGAAACCCCGTCTTTTAAAAAAAAAAAAAGAGTAGAGGAGGCTGGGCATGGTGGCACATGACTGTAATCCCAGCCCTTTGGGAGGCCAGGGCAGGTGGATCACCTGAGGTCAGGAGTTCTCGAGCAGCCTCGCCAACAGAGTGAAACCCCATTTCTACTAAAAATACAAAATTAGCCGGGCATGGTGGCATGCGCCTATAGTCCCAGCTACTCAGGAGGCTGAGGTAGGAGAATTGCTTGAATCTGGGAGGCAGAGGTTGTAGTGAGCCAAGGTCTTGCCACTGCACTCCAGCCTGGACAACAGAGTGACAGTCTGTCTCAGGAAAAAAAAAAAAAAGTGTAGTGTCTCACACCTGTAATCCCAGCACTTTGGGAGGCCGAGGCAGGCGGATCACCTGAGGTCAGGAGTTGGAGACCAGCCTGACCAACATGGAGAAACTCTGTCTCTACTAAAAATAAAAAATTAGCTGGGCGTGGCAGTGCATGCCTGTAATTCCAGCTCCTTGGGAGGCTGAGGCAGAATTGCTTGATCCTGGAGGTGGAGGTTGCAGTGAGTGGAAATCACACAATTGCACTGTAGCCTGGGCAACAAGAGCGAAACTCCATCTCAAAAAAAAAACAAAAAACGAAAAACAAAACTCTACTCACATAATTTAAACTAATCAGTAATTTAGTAATGGTAAAAATAAGTCTAGAAAAAATTGGAGATACAATATGGTCGTGCAGGATGCAAATATAAACATTATATAGTATTCCCAGAGACACATGTACGCTTTTAGTTGGCTTATAGAGAGCATTATATGTTTGTGTGCATTACATGTTTTTCTTGATTGAAATTCTAAACACACAAATTTTGTAGAGTCAAAGTAGAGGAACATACAGATCCCTTCTATGATATTCTTTGTGTTTTTTTTTCCTTGGAAAACAGTCAAAATGAAATAAGCAACATCATTTTACAAGTCTGAAAATGCTTTGGCAGAAATGCAGTGTCTTTGCATCCACCTAATTAGCAATGATTAATAGTAGCAATTTCATTTCAAATGAGTGGAATCTAATTCGGGAGTCGGGGAGATACACTTGTTTTTGAAGACATTTCTTTCTCTGTGTTGATCTAAGAAGACACATTACTTATTGCTGCCTGTGTTTTCCTACTTGTTGTCTACTCCTCCCCTTTATTCTAGAAGAGTGAACTTGGAACTTAAATGTAGCATTTGTGTCACTAAAAATACCACAAGTATATGGCCATCCAAATCTCCTATTAACAGTAGACTTCTGTCAGAAATTGAAGAGTTTCTAACAGACTTCCTTAAGAAGATTTGGTCATGCTGACTAAAGAAACAGTAGTTTGTGGTACTTGGTAGCTAGCTAGCGTTAGTATTTTGGGTTTTACACGTTTTCCCTGGGATAGAGATGTTGCCTATCTTAGCTATAATACAAGCGAGAAAACCTCTTGTTTCAGCCAAGTATATACGGGAGGAATATTAGTTTCCTCAAGGGTAAGTGGATATTTGGGTAATTATTAGTAACTTTCAGTATCGTATGTCCTCATGTTCATGTTTTGTGTTATTATTTTTTAGTTTTATTGATTCCAGTAATTTTGTAGTTTAATTTTTGGAAGATAACTTGCAAAAAGCAGCATAGGTAAAAGAAAATCATTGGTGCCATTATGAAGCACATATCCCTGCATCCAGTTTCCCCTGTTATACAAGTTGTTTCCCTTACACATGTATGTTGTTTTGAAACATTTTGGTTCATGTCAGTCTTACTGTATGTTAGTCTTACCATATCTTCCTGATCAAACATACAGGGAGATATTGATGATCTAGAATAGGAGGAATTTGTTTTAGACTACTGGGAAATTTTTGTTTTGTCCGATTATGCTTTTAATGTTTTTATTTATTTATTTTCTCACATTGAGGCAGGTTAGGCTTTAGTAAAATGTCAAAAAAATTAATGAGAGTTGGGTTTCAGCTTAAAATGATCTGCCCCATAAATTCCCAGATTTTGTTTCCAAAGCCTTCCTTAAGAAGAAAATTAATTGAACATGCAATAATACTTTGCCTTATGAGTTTTTAAAAAGCCAATTGGAAATCATTATATATTAAAGATATCAGGAGCCCTTATGTTTTTGAAGAGTTCTAACAAGTTATTTTGGTAAAACATTTTCTGCACTTCATTTGTTTTGTAAATCCTAAGTCTCATGTGTTGGAAATTTGTTTAGTACTTTTTTTTTAAACTTTACAACTTTATTATAAACTGAAGATGCAAGGAACAACCTACTTTTCTGGGATCTGCCAGTTAAATAGCTCTCTAGTTAACAGATTTAGGTTTTGGTGAAGGATGCTTGTTGTTTTTAACTTTCTGATGGATATAACCTACCTTTACTATGGAGTATGACTTCTTTATCCTGTTTTCACTTTATCAAAGATTAAAAATCAAAATTCTGAAAGTAATCATTGTGAATATGGCTATTTCTTTTCTTTTTCTTTTTTTTCTCTTTCTGGCTATTTCTTTTCTAATATGTGAAAAAAATAGTGACCCATCTTTTTTCAGTTGAATAAGTTAAGTAGTGGATAATTTTATTGTTAATATGATTCAGATATGTTTTCGTGTAGCATTTAGTTCATTCTAATCTATTTTTTAAGTGAACTTAATTTTTTGAGTAGTTTTAGATTTACAGAAAAATTGTGAAGATAGTACAAAAAATTCTGATATATCCCTGCATCCAGTTCCCCCATTGTTAACATCTTACATTAATGTGGTACAGTTGTTACAGTTAATGAACCAATATTGATACATAATTATAAACTGGAGTCCATACTTTATTTAGATTTACTTAGCATACCTAATGTCCATTTTTTTCTTCCAGGATCTTAGGATCATGTCTTACATTTAGCCCTGTCTTGGGTGCCCCTTGATTGGGCTGGTTTCTCGGCCCAATCTAAGGCTTAATCTATTTTAAGATTGATAAGTTACTGTTCTTCATAGTTTGTTTTGTTGATCTGTTTTCCTCCGTATACTACTGTAGTCTATTCATTTTAAACTGCCTTTTTGTTTTTCCAGTAGGAAAGCCATGAAGTCCAGAAGTAGAAGTCCTGCATATTCAAGACATTCATCTTCTCATAGTAAAAAGAAGAGATCCAGTTCACGCAGTCGTCATTCCAGTATCTCACCTGTCAGGCTTCCACTGAATTCCAGTCTGGGAGCTGAACTCAGTAGGAAAAAGAAGGAAAGAGCAGCTGCTGCTGCAGCAGCAAAAATGGATGGAAAGGAATCCAAGGGTTCACCTGTATTTTTGCCTAGGAAAGAAAACAGTTCAGTAGAGGCTAAGGATTCAGGTTTGGAGTCTAAAAAGTTACCCAGAAGTGTAAAATTGGAAAAATCTGCCCCAGATACTGAATTGGTGAATGTAACACATCTAAACACAGAGGTAAAAAATTCTGTAGATACAGGGAAAGTAAAGTTGGATGAGAACTCTGAGAAGCATCCTGTTCTTAAAGATTTGAAAGCACAGGGAACAAGAGACTCTAAACCCATAGCATTGAAAGAGGAAGTTGTTATTCCAAAGGAGACAGAAACATCAGAAAAGGAGACCCCTCCACCTCTCCCCACAATTACTTCTCCCCCACCCCCTCTACCAACTACTACCCCTCCACCTCAGACTCCCCCTTTGCCACCTTTGCCTCCAGTACCAGCTCTTCCACAGCAACCACCTCTGCCTCCTTCTCAACCAGGATTTAGTCAGGTTCCTTCTTCCAGTACTTCAACTTTGCCCCCTTCTACTCACTCAAGGACATCTGCTGTGTCCTCTCAGGCAAATTCTCAGCCCCCTGTACAGGTTTCTGTGAAGACTCAAGTATCTGTAACAGCTGCTATTCCACACCTGAAAACTTCAACGTTGCCTCCACTGCCCCTCCCTCCCTTATTACCTGGAGATGATGACATGGATAGGTAAGTCCTATAGTGAACTGGAAAAAATTAACCACCTTGATCTAAACATGAAGTATTTTCATGCTTTTATGAACTGGAAATGCCTTTGATATTTTCAGTGGGAACGTCTGTATTTATGACATTATTACTTGGGAAGAAAGAATAAGAATTTGAGGCCTGGTTAACTCATTTTATCATTAAGTTTATTTTATTTTTTAATTTCGAGACATAGTCTTGCCTTGTTGCCCACGCTGGAGTGCAGTGGCAGAATATTGGGTTACTGTGACTTCTGCCTCCTGGATTCAAGCAGTTCTCCTGAATCAGCCTCATGAGTAGCAGGGACTACAGGCATGCACCACCATGCCTGGCTAATTTTTTAATTTTTTTTTTTTTTTTTTGAGACGGAGTTTCACTCATGTTACCCAGGCTGGAGTGCAATGGCGCGATCTCGGCTCACCGCAACCTCCGCCTCCTGGGTTCAGGCAATTCTCCTGCCTCAGCCTCCTGAGTAGCTGGGATTACAGGCACGCACCACCATGCCCAGCTAATTTTTTGTATTTTTGGTAGAGACGGGGTTTCACCATGTTGACCAGGATGGTCTCGATCTCTTGACCTCGTGATCCACCCGCCTCGGCCTCCCAAAGTGCTGGGATTACAGGCTTGAGCCACCGCGCCCGGCCTAATTTTTTAATTTTTAATAGAGATGGGGTTTCGCTGTGTTGGCCAGGCTGGTCTCGAACTCCTGACCTCAAGTGATTTTCCCACCTTGGCCTCCCAAAGTGCTGGGATTACAGGCGTGAGCCATTGCCCCTAGCATAAGTTTATTGATAATGCTAATTTTATTTTATTTTATTTTTTTTTGAGATGGAATTTTGCTCTTGTTACCCAGGCTGGAGTGCAATGATGCGATCTAAGCTCACCACAACCTCCGCTTCCTGGGTTCAAGCAATTCTCCTACCTCAGCCTCCCGAGTAGCTGGGACTACAGGCACCCACCACCATGCCCAGCTAATTTTTGTATTTTTAGTAGAGATGGGGTTTCACCATGTTGATAACGATGGTCTCGATCTCTTGACCTCGTGATCCACCTGCCTCGGCCTCCCAAAGTGCGGGGATTTTAGGCGTGAGCCATCGCACCCGGCCTAATTTTTTTTTTTTTTTTAGATGGAATTTCGCTCTTATTGCCCAGGCTGGAATGCAGTGGCGCAATCTCGGCTCATCACAGCCTCTGCCTTCTGGGTTCAGGGATTATCCTGCCTCAGCCTCCCGAGTAGCTGGGATTACAGGCATGCACCACCACACCTCACTAATTTTGTATTTTTAGTAGGGTCGGAGTTTCTCCATGTTGGTCAGGCTGATCTTGAACTCCTGACCTCAGGTGATCCGCCCGCCTCATCCTCCCACAGTGCTGGGATTATAGGTATGGGCCACTGTGCCTGGCCTTTGAAATTTGAAAAAGAATCAATAGAGTTTATCCCTTAAATTTTTGTTGAAAGTATTAATACCTCTAGAAAAATGAAAAGAATAATAGGCTGGGTGCGGTGGCTCACGCATGTAATCCCAGTACTTTGGAAGGCCGAGGCTAGTGAATTATCTGAGGTCAGAAGTTCGAGACCAGCCTGGCCAACATGGTGAAACCCTGTCTCTACTAAAAGTACAAAAATTAGCTGGGCGTGGTGGCGGGCATCTATTCCCAGCTACTTGAAAGGCTGAGGCAGGAGAATGGCTTCAACCCAGAAGACTGAGGTTGTAGTAAGCCAAGACAGCATATTGCCATATTTGCTTTAACTGTGGGTTTCATGACACTTCTAAATACTTCAGCATGTCTCTTTTAATGATAATATTATTCTGTGTAATCACAAGATCTTCATCACCCTGAAAAATTTAGCATTGACTTAATAATATCAATAGTCATATAAATAACATTCTATCAGTAGTGATAGTATTTAACCAAATAGTCCCAGTAGCCCCCAAAATGTCTTTATTGTTTTTGTTTTCAATTGGAATTCAGAATAACTCACAAAATGTCATTTATAGCCAGGTTTGTTTTTTTTTCTCCTGATCCGGGGTCCAAACCAGTCTATTTTGAAAGGGGCTGTTTTTTTAAAAACAAAACAAAAAAAAAACTATTCCGGCCAGGCACTGTGGTGCATGCCTGTAATCCCAGCACTTTGGGAGCCGGAGGCGGGCAGATCACAAGGTCAGGAGATCGAGACCATCCTGGCCAACATAGTGAAATGCTGTCTCTACTAAAAGTACAAAAAAATTAGCTGGGCGCATGGCACATGCCTGTAGTCACAGCTACTTGGGAGACTGAGGCAGGAGAATTGCTTGAACCCAGGAGGCGGAGATTGGAGTGAGTCGAGATCGCGCCACTGCACTGCAGCCTGGGCAATGGTGCGCAACTCTGTCTCAAAAAAAAATTTCCGTAAAAAGTAAAAGAACAGTATGTTTCCATAAAAAGTAAAAGGCCAGTATGTAAAGTCTTTGCTAATTAGAATATAATTCACAATAGGATGATGGGAAGAGTTTTAATGAGTCCTCTGAATGTTGAGAACTGCTATGACTATGCAGCATGAATCTAATTTTATAGAAGCCATTAACAAAAATATTTCTTTAAGGCTGGGCTTGGTGGCTCATGCCTTTAATTCTAGCACTCTGGAAAGCTGAGGTAGGCGGATCACTTGAGGCCAGGAGTTCAAGATAAGCCTGGCCAACATGATGGAACCCCATCTCTACTAAAAATACAAAAATTAGCCAGGCATGATGGTGGGCGTCCGTAATCCCAGCTACTCAGGAGGCTGAGGTGGGAGGATCACTTGAACTCAGGAGGTGGAGGCTGCAGTGAGCCGAGGTCGTGCCACTGTACTCTAGCCTGAGTGACAGAGTGAGACTCCGTCTCAAAAATATATATTTCCTGGGCCAGGTGCCATAACTCACGCCTGTAATCCCAGCACTTTGAGAGGCCTACGCGGGTGTATCACAAGGTCGGGAGTTCCAGACCAGCCTGGCCAACATGGTGAAACTCTGTCTCTACTAAAAACACAAAAAATTAGTGGTGGTACGCACCTGTAGTCCTAGCTACTCGGGTGGCTGAGGCAGGAGAATCACTTTAACCCAGGAGGCAGAGGTCTCAGTGAGCAGAGATCATGCCATTGCACTCCAGCCTGGGTGACAGAGCAAGACTCCATCTAAAAAATACATAATATAGGCCGGGCACGATGGCTCAAGCCTGTAATCCCAGCACTTTGGGAGGCCGAGGCGGGTGGATCATGAGGTCAAGAGATCGAGACCATCCCGGTCAACATGGTGAAACCCTGTCTCTACT